ACTGATTTATAAGCAGTAGAGCAAATTTTTGCCAAGGAGAACAGCTCCCTTAGCTGTCCACTTTTTTCCTGTGAGAAGGTACATGGACAGGGAGTACAATAAATGATGCTGAAATACCTCTCTATGGAACCACTAAGTATGAGCATGGTTTCCCCAAAACATTCTAGTATAAGACTAATCCTTGGATATGTTCAAAAGGGGAAGAATGTGCTTTACCAAATACATATATGCATGCAATAAAAATTGATGAATACAGAGGCCATGGATTTGAAGGAGAGCAAGGAGGGGTGTGTGCTATGGTTTGGAGAAAAGAAAGGGAAGGGAGAAATGTAATTAAAATACAATATCAAAAATAAATAGCAATAATAACAAAGAAGTTTAGAGAAGAATGAAGCTGAAATTTCCCTCTTGAGTGTTGAGAACACATGGGAAAACAACCGTTTGAAAAAAATCCTATCATAAAAATCCTTGGTTTTAACCTCAATGTCTCTCAACTTGTGCTGCATCCCTGTCTTTCCATCCCATATGGTAGAGTATATGGGATGTCTTCATTTGTTTTTAGTTTGACTTTTGTTCTTTGGTTTTGGTGCTGGGTGTTGAATCTGGGGCATTCTAAATACCAGGCAAGTGCTCTCTCCCACTAAGCCTTTCTACAGCTACCTCTCTCAGGGATAGGATTTTTTCCCATTCTGACAAGAAAGGAAAATTGAGTTATGATACATTAAAATATCATGATCATATAATATCAACATTTTTTCACATAAATAAAAAATATTTTCTACTGGATTTTGGAGACAGAATAGTGTGAAGATTAGTCTGCCAACAGCAATATTTGTAGTCGGCTGACATTTATAATCTATTTCATTAGAAAGACTTCGAGAGAAAATTATTACTCTTTCTTTGTTGTCTTTCTTTGTTGTACCAGTAATTCTAGATTGGTGAATTAATATTTGCAGAGATTCACTGTCTTTGATTTGTGGCTAGTTGTGTCGTAGTCTTTTGAAATGACAGATTTTTCTTTTTTCTTTGGGTTGGCAAGATGTACTGTTATGCAAATGAATATACTCGCACACTCTCTCACACCACACACACACACACACACACGCACACGCACACACACACACACGCACACACACACACACACACACTAATGTAGCTAACAATGATGAGGCATTTTTTAAAATTCTGGATAAACTTTATACAGCTGGATTAAGACTACCAGAAATGGAGATATTTATAGGAGCATGCTGTGGTATTGGTTTGGCCCTCAGGAAATCTGTAAGTAAACCTGGTATTTCAAGGGTTATTAAACCTAAGATACCTAGTGAAGTTTGCTTTAACAAAATAAATCTATGGCTATGTTTCTAATAAGCAGCTATTAGCCACATGTAACAACAAATTAAAATTGAGCAAAACAAGTCATTAGTTTTTCTAGTTACATTTCTAACGTTCAATAGTCAAAGGTTCCAAGAGACTGCTATAATGGACAGATGACAGAACACTTTTCTGAAAAAAAGGGTTAATCCAATAGACATTATTTTTTCTGATTTGCACATGAAAGACAAAAATTGCATTGATGATCATTAATCACTTCGTTTAAATCAGTCTTACTGAGATATGAGATGCTTTATTAAGTAGCTGTATAGTCTACTGGGAAGAATATTGGGTTGGAGCAAGGATGACTGGAGTTTGTCCCAAACACAAACTTATGTTTAGGAGAAAATCCTTTAATGTCTTTATCTTGGACTGCAAAGGCTAAAACTATGAGACATCTGTAGAACAGAGTTAGAATTGGGAGCCTGGAAACTGTTCTTAGGAAAGTCTGTTCATGAAGCTGGCCCTTGGCTGGCATCTGTAAACTTGGCCTTTTGGAGACTTCCCATCATTTCCTTGTAGAATGACTTACTTACCAGAAATGCTTGTGTGGTTGATGATACAGCTTCTATGACTTATGAAGAACCCTGGCTGTCCCTCTGGGAGTCTGGAGTTTGTGTTCATGCCAGGCAGAAGGTATCTGCATAACTAGTTCTCATAAAAGCCTTAGCTCTGGGTTTCTAATAGGCTTGCCTGGAAGACTTTTGACACTTATCACAACTTATTGCTGAGGGAATGAAGTATATCCTGTGTGTCTCTACTGGGACAGCTGATGACTGGTTTTCTTCCAGCCTTGCTCCAACATGCCTTTTCTTTTGCCGATTTTGTTTGTATCCCTTTACAATAATAAATCATTACCATGATTATGACTATGCAACTGAGGTCTGTGAGAATTTCCAGCAAATCACCAAACCTGTGCTAATCTTGGGGACCCTCAACACATTGCACAACAATGTTGAAAAGAAATCGTAATGTCTAAAACTTGAGAACAGGTTAGAATCCAAACACAGAAACATATGTTTGCAAACTGTTATAATAGCTGTAGTGATTCTGGGGAGGAAGAAAAAAGCATACAGATTTTTAAAGATATGCTGAAAATATGTTTTTAAAGTGCCTATAAAAAGCTATGTGTGCCTGAATTTATTAAGTCTAGAATATTTGAAGCATAATTGTGTGACTTTGCTTATTTTAACTAGGAACACTTTGAATTTTAATAGTGTTCTGGGATTAGATGGAAGAAGATACAATGTTTTAAAACCAAACCAAAACAAAACCAGAAGATTCCATGCCATTTACATCCATAGGAAACTTCAAGCACCATCAGGAAATGTGAGCTGAAGTGGTTAAGATAAGAATTGCAGTGGAACATAATAGCAGTCATACCTCTTTGGACTCAGTTTAAAGAAACCAAAAAGTCTTCTGTCCAGATCCCTGGAGGGGAATCCATCTTCCATGGCAGGCTGAAGTGACAGAGGATCTTAGACCTGACACATTTGGGTGGATCTTGGCAGCAACTTAGAAATATGGCCTTGGCTTCTAGTGCTCTAAGTGGGAGTGTTAGTAAAGTATCTTCTTGCAGTGAGTGCTCTCCTTGCTTGAACATCAGAGTCTTTACACTAACATGGAAATCTTTCATTTTACTTGGTAGTACAGTTGAGCCATCTCCAAGTTTCAAATGTTGCCTCTCTCCTCTCCTTTTACCAGCCATTTCCCACGTAGGCTTGGTTTCTTAAGGTGGTACCCACTGAGAGTGCTTGAACCTTCCTTCTATCTTCTCCTCTTCAACCATCTGTCAGTTTTTATCCATATGACCAGTTTCAGAAGGTTTAGATGGAAATACTGAGGGCATCAGAACAAGTGTAGTCTGGAGTTCAGGCTACTAGGTAATGCCCAAAGATTGTTCTTACTGAAGAGTCTCATAAAAGAATACCAAGGTGGGAAAAATAAGTCCAAAGGTCATGGGCTATAAAATACTATAGAGTTAAGATTCTAGATGTATAAAAGCAGATATATTGCTTTATCTTATGTCCTTTCTATATATTTTTGTGTGGTTGTAGGCAATTAATCGCGCTGAGCCTTGATTTTGTCATTGGTCTAATGGGATAACAACAGCAACCAACTTACTGATGTGAAAACTAAAAGAGTGAATACATGAAAATGGCATTGAATACCTAACAAGTACTGCATTACTATCTTAACTAATTTTCATAAAAATTGAGACACATTTGAAGATAAAGAAGGACATTGTCTAGAATTATTCCAGAACATCAGCAGTACTATTATTGTCAGTGTTCACTATTGGTATTTTCAGTTTTCTAGTGGATAGGCTTTCTTGTTTGTCTGGTCCTGCAGCTGTTTAGCCCCAAATAAACACACAGAGACTTACATTAACTATAAACTGTCTGGCCAATGACTCAGGCTTCTTATTGGCTAGCTCTCTCTTAAGTACTAACCCATTTTTAACAATCTAAGTGTTTTTATGTGGTGTTTTCTTACAAGAGAATTTCCCAGTATATTACTCCTTCAGCAACTACTTGGTGTCTCTCTGTGTCCTTTCCCTAGAATTCTTCTGCCTGGCTACTGGAGGATCAGTGTTTTATTCATCAACTAATAAGAGAAACACAAATACCACAGCACTTTCCTTGAAAGGAAACTTACCTTTTGAAGAATCCAGCTCTTCCAGAGTATAGCCTTACCAAAATAAACTTCTCTGGAAGTTTGTAGAAGTCAGGCTGTGAGTGCAGGATATTGGAGAAAAGATGAACTATGCCCTGTAACAGGCCCTGGTGAAGGTGACTTACTTCCTCTGGACAGCAGGGAGCTGCCATCTCTGTATGAGATGGGGAATGTAGTGCTTATTGGGGACAGCAGTACCCTTTTACACACCTTGGCAGCCTCATGTTCTAAAGCATGTGGAGAGGGGACCAAGACAACTTTAACTGAAGTTAAGTTACATTAGCTTCACATTGATCAGCCAGTTATCAGAGCCGCTAACTGATGTTAAAGCAGGCACAAGGCAGCTCAGTTTGCCAAGAGTATGGACTGGATGACTTCTCTGGGTGGTGCCTTGTTTTTTTTTTCCAAAATTACCTTAAAACTGTGATAATCAGATTTTCATTGCCACAGCAAATACTGAGACAGTCAACTTACAGAGAGAAAAGGTTCAGGTTTACCCACAGTTTAGAGATTATTACCTATGATAGAATGACTTTATTGCTCTGGGTCTGTGGTGAGGCAGCATATTACAATAGAAGCAAATATCAGAGAAAGCAAAAAATAAAGAGGAAGGGGTTTGAGGTCCACTCTATCTTTCCATCAAACCTTTCATAGTGGCATGCAAGCCTAATATGGGGTTGCACCTACCTCTCAGCACTGCAACATGCTGGGGACTAAGCCTTTAATACACAGGCCCCTAGGGAAATTTCAGATCCAAAGCAAAAGTGATCAAGTGTTCTATGGTAACTCAAATGATCTCACTTGGTAAATATTGTTTCCTTTGGAGTATTCCAACCCCAGATGTCATCAGTACGTCTTTGTTTTGATTCTTATTTAACAATGACAGCAACTGTTTTTCTTCTTTCTATCTAGCTGTCTCATCTAATTTATGGTCCTTTTTTTGGCACTAGACAGGAGGGGAGACCAACTCGTATGTGACAAGACTCTTTCAAGTGGATTTGCTTTCAATGGAGGATGGTGGTGATATTGATACAGGAAGAAAATTAACAGTTGAACCAAAGTCTATCAAAGGTGCTTGTTCAAACCTTGGCTCTCTGCCAAGTCAAGTATGGTTCAGCAGAATCTATATAGGCTTTTGGATTTCCTTCTGAAATTTTTGCTTTGAACATAGATAACCTATAGAATTAAATAAATGATAGATGGCCTAAACATTGCTAAAGTTCAAAGATAAATGAATGTCAAATATTCATGTTTGGAGATGAGTCCAAGAAAATGGTAGAGAAATACAACTTTCCAAATTTTTAAATACTGTACATTAAATAAACTATTAGTTAAAAAGTTTTAAAAGCTGAATGCTTATGAATATTTCTTAACTATGTACATGTAAAACTAGCTCATTCATATCTATAAACTTCCATTCATTAAGGCAGAGATTCAGTTAGCTGGATTTCATGTGCTTCATTCTTTGACCGATAGCAATTAATACTTACATAACCTGAGCCATGTACCATTATTTGATGCTGAGTCTGTATTGTGAAGGATATGTGTGGTATAATTCTCCATACCTGCCTACACATATTTTGCTTTTGATCTTCCTTATAGTCCAATGAAATAGATACCATTATTGCCTCTGAGTTACATGGAATTTAAATTGCTTTCTCTGGGTCTCACAGCCAGTAAATGAAAGAGCAAAAGTTCAGACTCAGAGCTCACAGCCATAACTCTTGTTCAGTTCTAACCTTGGCACCATTACCAGAAAGAGCTTTGAATCTGAACACATATCTCATTGATGCTAAATGCTTAGTGATTTAATCCATGTCACAACAAAAGCAAGATGCCACAAAATGTAGCCTTTGTTGAACTGATTCACGGGTCTAATGTGGATTTCAAATAACTTATGTGTCTTTATGAGTATTTATATACTATTTGTGTCAGCTAGAAAAAGAACCAAGGATTAAGTATCAAGACTGAAGCCAAGTAAATTGAAGATGTCAGAAATAGCTAAAAGCTCAGGATAAATTACATGGGTTCTTTAGAGCACCCTGGGGGTACTTCCAGAGGATGTTTCTAGCCCAGCTCTCAAAGCAATAAACTTGATGTAAGTCATCGAATAAATAAACGTAGCACTGCATGGTTCTTATTCTGCTTTGTTTGAGAAATGGTTTTCTCTCAGAGAACCAGACCTTTCACATGTGACACTGGATTGTAGATTATTGCTTTTAAACTGACCAGGGCCATGGAGGTTCTCAATAAACCTACATACTTAGAGAAGCAGACATATTCCCTGAATAAGTCATCTGGAACTATGGATTCTGAACATGTCTGTGGGATAATCTTCCCTCTTAGACCAGGGTTTACTACAGATGAAAGCAGAGGAGCTCTGGGTGAGGACCAAAAGGCGGGTGTGGTGGTCCAGAGCTTCTAACAGCTGGGGCTTTTCCCATCTTTACACTTGGAGCTCTGGGAGGCATCTATGTGACTGGTCCAGGGCTCCCCCAGCACACAGTTTGGAAGCCACTGATATAAAACTCAAACATAACAATGTGTGGCAACAAATAAATTGAAAAGTAAGGAAATTATAAAATGTAAGGAAGCAAAATTTCAACTAGACTTGAAGGATTCTGTTAAGTTTGATTTACACATATTGCCAAATGAAAGCTTTGTGTTGCTGAATCAAATTATGCCCATTTAAAAATTCTGTTGTTTTAACCTTTTTGAAGAAATAATATCCCTGTGTTAACTGATAAAAAATTTTAAACTAAATCTCTTCAATATCCCAGAGGTATCACATCACCACTGGCATTTTATGGAGGTCACACAAGGGGATTAACTAGAAATCCAGTGGAGTTAGTACTCCTCCTCTCATTATCCACGTGCCTTTGAACTGTGGGCCTTTAGGGTCCTGGTTTCCTAAGGCAATCATAGAAGATCACAGCTATCCTTGGTTGGAAAGCTATGAGTCCTTGTCTTTAAAGAATGACATTATTTAAAAATAAATTTAAATCACCTAATATATTGAATCTCAAAGCTCACAGGTGAATTCATTCAGGCTTACTTTTAATTTCTATGAGTAGCAGGTGGAGAAGACACAAAACTTGGGGAAAATGAATTCTCCCTTATGCACTGGTTATTAAGTAAAGATACAGTTTTGATAAGGTCACTGTAATTCAAATTTGTGTGCCAGGGTGGCAATAGGAGCCCACCTGTGCTTCTCCTGTTCTCAGAATTTGATTAAGAATTTGGGGTTGAGAATAAAGGATGGACATCTTGAAATCAGAGTACTTCTCTTTAGGAGTGTTTTTGAACTGACTGATTGATCTCTCTGCTCAACTTTTCACCCACAAAACACTATGTCTTCACCAATTAAATCAGCAGTTCTCAACCTGTGGGTCACAACCCCTGAAGGGGTCGAATGAACCTTTCACAGGGGGCACACATCAAATATCCTGCATGTCAGATATTCACATGATTCATAGCAGTGGCAAAATTGCAGTTATGAAGTAGCAATGAAATAATTTGATGATTGAGGGTCACTACGATACAAGGAACTGTATTAAATGGTCACAGCATTTTGAGAACCACTGAATTAAATGAATTAAAAAGCCAAGTGCTGAGAACAGAAGGTAAAAGCTTAATTAAATTCAGGGAACATTTTGTCGATGTTAGGTTTTCTAGGATTATTATGGTCAGCTAATATATACACATAGTCATGAACACAAGAAGTGAAACCAGTTTTTTAGCATGCAGATGTATTTACAGAAGTTCATCTTGTGGCACATAATCGTCATACACAACTTTAATTCAAGCACTCTAGAGGCAGAAGTAGGTAGATTTATGTGAGAAGGAGGCCAGCCTGGTTTACATAGGGAGTTTCAGGACAGCCAAAGCGGTGTAGAGAGCCCCTGTCTTTAAAAAAAATGCATTATTTGGTGCTTGCTTCAGCAGAATTTATACTAAAATTGGAAGATTAGCATGACCTCTGCACAAGGATGATATACAAATTCATGAAATGTTGACTATTAAAAGTTGATCTTATATTAGGTCATAAGATTTAACCATCAATTCCAAGAAACTGGTAAAATGAAACTTTAATTTGCTGGACATATTATAAAATTGACTATCATAAGAAAACATAGTAAAACTCTCATATGTTTAGAAATTCACAAGAAATCTGAATAATTAACTGGTTGAAAGCACTATAATGAAAAATTATGTTGTATACCTAAAGTATTGTGAAATATTTATAAAATTTATAAAATTGGACTAGATATTCAGGAGTGAGTTTATGCATAAAACATAAAAGAAAAGATGAAATATTAGCAAGTCAAGTATTTTCTTGTATCATGTAGTAAAAGAATAAAACAGTCAACATGGTAAAAGTAGAAAGATGGGTGTAATGATAAAGAGTAAAAGTTCAAGAACTAGCAAATATAATGAGGTTCAACAATTCCAACAATCACATAAAAGAAATACATTTAATCAAAATGTAAAAAGAAGCAAAGTTGAATAGACTAACAACCATCAAACTCTTCAGTCAATAATCACAACTGACATCTATTTATCTCACTTGAGTTCTACCAAAGAGTTTGATTTATGCCATAGATAAATCTGACATTATACTTTCCAAAGTATAAAAGAAGAAAGTTAATTAACCCACTTTTTAAAGCTGCTATAACTTTAAACTCTTGATATTCAAGCTATAAGAAGGGCTAGAGAGATGACTCAAAGGTCAAGCTATAAGAAGGAAAAAGGGACATATTATGCTGAATGCATAAATGATTTGTCCTAAGTGTGTAGCTGTAGTGGACATGGAAATAGCAATGTATTTCTGAAACAGCCTTTTGTTCTCATTTCAGAAGTCCCCAATCTATTTTTAGAGGAGGTGGATTAAGTCTACTGTTGGCCAGCAAGGACATAGGAATTTGAGTGCCACTCTTACGGTGGTTCAAAAATGTTTTAGATCTATTCTGGGTATGTGAAATACAGAAGAGACTAAATAAAGTTACAGGAAGTATTTGATCACAGTTATATGAATATGAATATTAAAATTTAACACATGCATGTGAGTATATTTAACTTATTTGTAATAACAGATCACTATTACTATCATTTTTGTTCGTAGTGTTTCAGACTGTTTTTGAATATCATAACAATGAACAAAAGGCACAAAAATGAAATTAAAAAAAGAGAAGTCACAGCTAGTCACCTGTGAACATTTAGTTATGAATAAATTACAACTGAAATAATAGTAAAACATAACTCCATAAAAAATGGATTAGCAATGCTCATTGCCAAGAACTGAAAAACAGCTGCCCAAAATGGAGGAAGTAAGTGATGGAGGTGGGTCCATCCCTAAATAAGACACTTATCCCACCTTCTCTAATTCTCAGGGAACACTGTAGAAAAGGGGTGGGAAGTATGTGAAGTCAGAAGACATGGTGAATAGATATGAAATGCAATTCCTCAGACTCAACATTACCATTGTAATCACAATTTACATTGACTATAGTCACCTGCAGTGGATTCGCCATAGACCAGTCATAGGGCCATAGGACTGTGGATAGTTTCTGAGAAAGGGGAAATCACTATGTACCCTCTGCTGTGGATAACACCAAACCCATAGTCCTTCAGATGACCATGGATATTCTTGGTAGGTCACCACACAAAATGAGTAGACATGATTTCAAGAGACAGATTCATGGGTAAGGAGGAGAGTACATATGGATGGCAGGGAGGTGGGATGTGAGAATAGACAGTGTGGAAAACAGACATATGTGGAATTATAAAAAATAAGTCATTGATTTAAAAAAATTGAAAGCTCTCTGGGGATGGTGGCAAATGACTGTAATCCCAGCATTTCAGAGGTGGAGGCTAGGGGACAGGGAGCCTGAGACAAATCCACGCTACATAGCAAGTTGTAGGTGACTTTGGGCTACGTATTAAGAACCTGTCTCAAAAATAATAAAACAACAACTGAGAGTTCCTAATGTTTATGAATTACAAATATGAAGTGAAGGCTTTTTAAAAAAGGGAAGTCCTATAGCACCGAAAGGCATGTAAATTTTGGAACGTAATCTGACAATAATATCACTAGGAATATGTTCATATGGCAATCTAGCAGCTTCATTCTTGGCATATAACCCAGAGGATTTGTTGGCATATATGCACAAAAAGACACTTGTAAATAGAAAAATACTGATTTTAAAAGTGAAGACTAAAAAATACCTAAGTACATGTCGATAAAACAGTGAATAGATAATGAATAGTGAATAAATAATGCAGTATATAATGAAAGAGATAATCATAATTGAG